AAGAGGTCATGGTGGAGGAGGGGCAGGTAGGGTGAGAGGTCGATTGTGGTGGGTTAGGGCTTGTGTTTGGTCGTTTGATCTAGGGGATAGAGTGGGAATGATTTATGTCCGGGTCGGGAAAGTAATTTGGTGTGGGGCATGGGTTGTAGTTGGGAAAAAAGATTTTGGGCCAAGTCCAAAACGCTGCGTAGTATGCAAGTCGCAAACGTTTTGACGATGGGTTTGTTTAAAGGAGGCGGTGGTTGGATTGAGCAAGGCGACTTCCATTTCAACTTCTCGAGCCGTGCGCAGAGCCCTATATAATTCGCCAGTATCAGAGGAACGGATTTTTACATGTATTCCTTCCTTGAGTCCATTGAGAAAATAACCGATCAATTGAGGATCAGAGAGAGCTGGAGCTTGAGCAGCTCTAAAGATGAAATCATCAATATATTGGGTGACAGTACCCGTTTGTTTGACAGCAGCAAGAAGCTTATATGGGTTAGAGGACACATCACCGTTGTATGCATTGATGAGTTCAGATTTGAATTGGGTCCAACCCAGTTGAGGATTTCAAAAACGAAGCAACCTAAGCCAATGAAGAGGTGCTCCTTGCATAGAACACATAGAAACAGAGACTTGGGAAGCTGGTGGGGTGTTATGAAGTTCAAAATACTGTTCGGCTTTTGCTATCCAGACAACAGGGTCTATGCCGTTGAAGGTAGGCATATCCAGTTTTTTGGCTATGAAGGATGGGTTCAAATCTGTAAAAGGTCTGGTGGTGGTGTGGTTTGTAAGGTCTGGTGGGTGGTGTGGTATTGTCTGGAGGATGTTTCTTTCTTGACGTTTGGGGTTTGAGGATGGGTGGAGCTTTCAGATATAAATGGCAAGGTGCTTTTCCGCAGATTAAGGTCTTAAGAGGGATTTGATTTCTGTATTATCAGCTGGAAGGTTGTGCAATGGAAAGGGGTGTCTTCAATGGAGGATATTTTGCTTGAATTTGTAGATACGGTTCTTCTTTTTTTTCTAAAACGTTTCCACTCTGATTCATCTTTGTTTTTGGGATTCCATCTTTGTTTTTGGCATCCGGCAAGTCAAACCAATTTGTTAGAGTTAAGAACGCAGTAGAAATAATTTAAAGAAGAGAGAAGAAGAAATAGAGGTTAGATGAAATCAGAGATTGGAACTTCCATTAAATGAGAATTCAGATTTACAAGCAAGTCTTGATTGAAGAACAAGGAAGATAATAACAGAAAGGGAAAAATAAAGTAAAAAGAAAGGTTGCAAGCAACCCCCAGGACCAGCTCGATACAGAGAGAGAGACCCCCTGCCAAAATAACAAACTCTATATCTTTTTCGATACCCTCTCATTCCAATCACTAGCTATATATATGATTTCCCCCTGATTTCCCCCTATCAGAATCTGCTGATGTGTCCAGCAGTGTTGCTAATTCCTTTCCTGCCCTCTTTGTTCTTTGTTTCTTCTAGAATAAACCTTGTAGGGCCTTGGGCTTTTCTCAATAGTCCTATCACACATGGCTAACCAAGATCCTTAATTAAAGCAATATTATTGAAGGTAAAATACTATATGAATGAAATAATATGTCCCTAACATAACCTATGGTCAGGAAAAGCAAGGCGAAGATTGGCCATAGTAAAAATATATAAGTTGACCCTTAGTTTGACAAATTGTTTACAATGGGAACCACTAATTATCGTTTCAAATCATTCTTTCTTTCTACTTATCTTAGTTTAATGAGTACCAAGGTTACAAATTACAATTCCAATCATAAAATGTGACCGTTGTCAGTGAATCACCTTCGGAAGAGATTCTTTCTCAGTCTGAATAATGGATAGAATTAGAAGGCATGGTTACTTGTAATAGTTATTTTTTATTATTTGGAAACACAACATGATGGAAATCATGATATAATTAATTACCATATAAACAAAAAATAATTATGTACATCAATCCGAAAAAAAAAAATCAAAAAATTTATAAAAAAATATTAAATGAATTCAAAATGCATATTAGCCATCATTACTAATGCAATATTTTCATGCATATATTATTTACTAAACTTATTTAGTTTTAGGCCAATTTGCTTCATGAGAAACATATTCACCACAAACATTTTATGTTTTTTTTTTTTTTTTTTTTTTTTTGAAAAACATTATTCAACCACAAACTTTTTTTTTTTTTTTTTTTTTTTTTGGTTGGAGCCCAAAAAAGTTTGATCAATAGAAAAAAATTTTCTAGTCAAAAGCAAAAACTAAATTTAAGTTTGACACCCAATTAGGCTGCTTTTGCAGTGTCCAGAACTTAGCAAAGAGTAGTTTAGGGGGGAAAAAACGTGAACTTTAGCTTTTCCCAAACTATGGTTAACCAAAAACGGCCAAAAACTTAAAAATAATATATAGAAAGTCAAAACACAGTCCTGAAAAGCAACTCAAACTCAATATCACACAAAGCAAGCCCCATTCAAGCAAAATGACTCCTTTTCTCCAAAAGATGAAAACATTCTCTGAACTTTAAACTCATTAAAATAGGTAAAAAAAAGTACTGACATCATATAAATACACATCCGTTAGTTTATCGATCACTTTGGTATAATAAGTTTAGGAGTCAAATTAATATGTAGATCTTCTAGTTGACAATTAAATAATAAAAATTTCCTTATAAATTTCAATTCAGTGTGGAGTTGACACTAAGTGTTGACCATTAGGCCTAATATTAAATTAATCATGTATCCAAAAATTGTTAAACATTACAGATACTTCAAAAATGAATAATAAATGAACATGTATCACATAATGCCAATCAAAACAATTCAAACATTTGCATGTAAACACATAGCTCTTCGAATTTTTATTTGTTATTAACAATTTTTAAATATAATACGTTATGTAACATATTTAATTACTTAAAAAGCAATAAAAAATAAAAAATAAGAAAAAACACAATCCGCATGTTAATTGTGAATTTGTGATGAACTTAAGAAAGCCTATAAAACCTCACAATAGGAAGCAGTAAAAGATCTCTCTCTAAACTTCTTGTCGTAAGCAGGATAGGATCAAGGATTGGTAGCCAACAATGATTACAGAAGTGCAACAAAGGAAGCTTGAATATTGAAGGATCCATATCAAAAGCTAAAAATCCCAGTTATGCAAGCCATAAAATCTTGAAGATTAGGACTGAAGAGGAAAGGCAAGATGCTAAAGCTTTCAAATCTTAAGCATCCCAAAAAGATGATGAGAGTGTGGTGGCATAGCACTTTACCAATTTAATACACTCTCCATTGTCTACTCTTCATTTTCGTCTTCTTTATTCTCAGTTCTGTCTCTTCATGTGTCACTCTATTTCAGACCCTTCACACCTACAACTACTTACAGTTACAGTTACAACCACTTCAACCAAAGGTGAAGCCAGAATCAAAGGCTAGAGGGGGCGAAAAAAATATTTCAAAAAAGTTAAAGAGGGGTTGAAATTTTAGGGGGTAAATAGAAAAATTAACTATTTAAAAAAAAAAAAAAAATTGGCCAAATCCACCTCAGATTTCATCTATAACCGACTGTGGGACACAAATGAATTGTCCATATTAGCCATTACATAATGGAATTGGGACAATTCACTGGTGATTTGAAAATAGAAGTTCCATTATGGGGAATATCATACCAGTACACCATATTCCATTACGTAATCAGCCAATTCGATATATAATAAATAGTTCATATGTATGTTGATGACATGTCAAGCAACCACCCACCAGGCCCAAAAAAAAAAAAATACAAAACAAAAGGGAAGAAATGAAAAAGAAATCTACAAAACAAAAGGAAAGAAATGAAAAAGAAATCTATGCACTAAAACATCCGAATCTTTTCTTATTACTATAACAACCACTATTCTCAGATGTTTTTTCTTTGGGATTGTGTTTTTAATGGGTTCGGTGCTGGTAGTTTGATTGTCTATGATTATGGTTACATCAAGGAAAATAATGAGCAATTACCACATCACCAGGTTTCTTTTTTTTTTTTTTTTTAATTGTAGAGTAATGTCAAGAAATAATCAGCCAACTTTTACATTCTCTAATAAACCATTCAAGTAGGTTTCTGGTGTGCCTAAAAGTAAAGTTGTCCCTCCAATTTCTCTTTCCTTACTTTCTTTTAATACCCATAATGTTGGTGTTAAGAGTACAAGAATAGGATCGTGTCACAAGGCGATTTACAGGAAAGTCTAATTCAATTAACTTCCCCTTGTCCTATTCTTCTTGCGACCTATTGTGATAATTAACTCAAGCTCTTCAAAGGGAACTTGAAAACCTTGGACCTCGTTAGAGAGAGAGCTCCAGATCTCTGTGGTTGAAGTGAAATCACTGAACTTGGCTTTCACTAATCTAAACTGTCCTTTAAATAGGACATAGACTACTACACAAGCTCTTCAAAGGGAACTTGAAAACCTTGGACCTCGTTAGAGAGAGAGCTCCAGATCTCTGTGTTTGAGTGAAATTCTGACTTGGCTTTTCACTATTCTAACTGTCCTTTAAATAGGACTAGACTTACTACATGAATAAGAAACCTATAAATTAGGCTCCTTAAAAATAGAGATAAATGCAACTCCTATACTAAATGAGAGTAGACAACTTGAATTAAAATATTAATCCTAAAGTGACAGCCAAGCCCTAAACAGCAGCCAAAATGAAAATGCAATTCCTCCACTTTCCTTCTTCCTCTTGTCTTCCACTACCAAACAAAGAGTTAAGGAAATACAGCATAAAAGTTTGCATATTGATTGTGCTGGCAACGTCGAAAAAAACGTAAAGAAGATAAATATCAGAAAAACTTGAAATCTATCAAACAACACACCAAAACAAAACATGCATACAGGAGGACAAGTAGAGATTAAAAGAAGAAAGCCAAAATCAAAGATATGCAAAAGAAATACGAGCCCTAACCGCATCTTCAAGAACAGAACAAAATAAGCCAACATAAAGCAATTGCAAAGACAAGATAAATTTGTGTACCATCTGAAAAGCAGCACGAAAAGTATGCAACTCAAAATTTTGAAGGCCAACATCTTTGTCGAGACTCCTCCATCTTTCTGCACTCTAAACAAAATCAAAATCACTAAATACATCATTAGGCAATCAAACCAAACAACACAAATATATTAGGGTACAATAGTTTAGCAATAACACCATTATTATATCAGCCAAATGCATCCCTCCTTTTGCAAATAGATACTCAACTTCAAAAACAACTAAGCAAAAATTTAAGTAAATGAGGCCAAATCGATCAAAATAAGTAAGCTACATTTACCAGCTGCCCATTGCATAAGTTTATTCTTGTCTAAGGCATTATTAGTCAATTGTTCCCAAGAAAAGTCTATGAGTTTGTAGGCAGAGTTTTCAATCCACTCAAAATCCACAGCTTCTACACTCAAATGATGGAACTTATACTCTCCGTGCTTCAAATCCATCAAAAATCACAAAATAGAATCCCTTTCCAAAGTGACCTCCCAAAGTTCTAGGAAGCAAGACATTTTGTACTCAGTGTTCTGCTAGGCTACAAGATGCAAACTCAGACCTATAATGAATGACATATTAGGAAGTGCAAACATAAAAGAAGTACCAACCACAAAAAATATTTACAAATAAAAAATTTCACATTGTTCATATTATCAAAGGGCCCATTGACTTGGCAGATTAGAGAATCCTAAACAAGTCTGGATTATAGAAATATTCATCCCTAGATTTGCCACATTGTAGTTATAGCATAAGCATCCCAATAAACAAATAACTTCTTGCCAGTTTCTTCTCTGCCTTAGAACTAAAATTAGTATTTTCCACCTAATTTCAACCATAAAGTTTGTAGTGTGACATGGGAGTGTCTTGGGCTACAAGCATTTTTCTAGATATTCTGATGTTGAAGAGCAAGCTAAAGAAGAAGCTACATACAGATATTTAAATCATGAACATAATTGAAGGATGAGTTAATTTGAGAAAGTAACTTATATAGTTACAAAGCCAACCTACTTTAATTAAAGGATTTCAAATAAGTAAATTTTAATTGTATGTGTTAACTGTTTTTTACAGTAAAAGTTGTTTTATAAACCCGTATATAAGACCACCTTAAAGGCTAAAGGTGTGATATAATTATGTTGAATATTTTCTTTAAGTGAGAGACTCTTTTCCCCTTTCTGCGAATTCCTAGGTATTGTGAGACTGATATCAAACTTTGGTTTAAAAATCTGACTTAGAAAATCATTTTGTAGATGCAGGAAAAATTTCAAAAACCAAATGTTTGATGTTATACTTGGTTTACAAGATAAAGATCAGTTCAAATAAAAAGATGAATCTTCTCTAATGAATCATAAATCCTAATCGATACATGCATTCAGCAATTCAACAAAGATACAAGATATTTCATCAAATCACTAAAACAAGATGGTTTTATCAGATCTTTAGTGAATCCAATACCAATGAAAATAAATAAATAATTTTTATTTTAGTTCTTTTATTCAAAATCATTAACTAGTGCATTTTGGAACAGATTTATTTAGGATTTGTCTGCAATATATGATGACTACTTTGAAGATGATGAATGGTATCTATAATGAAACTTTTTTCATCGTTTGTGAACCATAATATTATACAAGTAGTGCAGAAAATCACAAAATCAAGTCCGCAAAAATTAATGTAAAGAAATTATTATTATAAAGATCCCTTTGCGAACAACTGTATGTTTTAATAAAACAATTTTAACTGAAAATTTTGCAACATAAAAAAATTGGAATGTTCAGAGTTCTTGAAGAATATTTCAAGCAAGAAGATATAGCATATTGAGCCAGACTCAAGGAAAACTTCTTTTCCAACCGGTGTATGACATGGGAGTGCCTTAGACTACAAGGATATGCTTAGACATTCTAATATTGTTAAGCAAGTTAAACAAAATAAGAGGCTACATGAAGATATTTAATGCATGAGCATAATTGAAGTATAAGTTGATTTAAGAAAATAATTTATTAATTACAAAACCAACATAGTTTAATTAAGTGATTTAATTGTGTTTTAAACAACTTTTATGTTAAAGTTGTTTCGTAAAACCATAAATAAGGCCACCTCAAAAGCTTAAGGGGATGATGTAATAGCATTAAATAATTTCTCTGAGTCAGTGCATCTCTATTTTTCCATTTTGGCGGATTCCTACAGATTGTGGAAATTCTGTATATTTGGATTAGCTTTCCAAGGTTGTCTCCTTGGACATATCCACCACGGTAGGGTTTTCAACCTCGCCATATTCGTATACCCCTAGATGACCCTCATTATAGTGTCATCTCTTGCTTGCAGTGGTAAGTCATAAGTTAAAATTATTTATCCAATCTTACACTTTAAAGCTTTTACTCCAACATAGCAGTTCAGAAGTTCCAAGCTTGACTTCAATGACCAAGATGCAGTTTTTTTTAATTTTATGCCAAAGCATTAATCTTTTTTCTTTTCTCCTAATCTTTACGAGTAGTGATATAAATAATGGCCATCATTTGGAAAAAATTCAGGGGACCAAGAACTCCAACAAGCACATTGAAACAGTTGGGAATACAAAACTGCATCAGCATGATCAAGACTTATAGTGCTTCACTGCAATTTGTAGCAACCAACTCAGTCTGTCTTATATACTCCCATACCAACCCCCAAAACATAACCGTCCATAGTTTGCCTTTAATCACTTTGGTGCTATCAGTTAGTCACTGAAAAGACCAAAATGTCAAAAACTTTGAATGATATATCCATTTCCATGATACTACTTCAATGGACAATTCAATTAAGAAAAGCAAAACATCAATGCACCTGACAAGCTAGATCGCGTGAATTCTTCCCAAGGGATATGCCTGAAGATTTAACACCCAAACTCATTGGAAAACCACAATGAGGACCAGCAACATCAAAACATTCTTCTGATAATAAGTTGTAGCAGCAGCCAATGCTAACAACTGCTTTAATTTCTTTGCACTCCGAAAAGGTTCTGATCCAATAGACATATATGCACTAAAAAATTACAAACAGCCAAAAAGAAACACAAAAAAAATGCCACATTTACAATGTATGGTCCTAAAGTAGCATAAATTGAGCAAACAAAACCAGAAATCATATTTGACCAAGGGACATGGAAAAAGTGATTCAAGACCATTACATGTCTAAGGCCTTTCACATTCCAATTTGCTTTTATAATACATCAGTGTTATCTTGAACTACAGGACCATCAGCTTGGATCACGAACTACGTGACATATTGTTTCAGTTATCTATAATGCATCTAGCTAAAGCTGCAGATGGAACTTTGAGTTAATCCCATGTAATATTGATAAATTTTATGAGATGCAAACCAAAAATAAAAAAAATAAAATCTTTCTTAAAGGATAATTTTCTAAATGATACCTGTAGAAAAGGCAAGATTTTGACAATTGTTCTAGCCTCAACAAATATTCTTTCAGAAAAATACTTAAGAATAAAGATTTTTCCTTCATATCTAAAACATATGCAAGAACGTATATAAATTTGATCAATGAATTAAACATTGCAAAATTATTTGCACTCAACTGAAAAGATAAAAATCAAAATGCATAATAGTACTCACCTCAGCATTGTTACTGAAAGATCACCACAAGCATGTAATCCAGCAAGTACCAATGAAGTGCTATCATCTGGAACTTGTCTACTCAATTTTGGATGCTCAACAATATCAACGTGTAATGACGCATCAGTCAAGGCTTTCAGCATGTCAATGGACATAACACGGCATGTAATTGCCTTAGGCATATCAGGAACCCTGTTTCCTGAACTAACAAAGGACAAGGAGTGAAAAAAAAAAAAGGCCGTTAACAAATGCCAGCTATAAAAAAATACACCTCAGCCATTATAATGAAATTCAATGATACCAACTGGATTTCACGAAATAAGCAACAGAAAGATAGTGGAACGTGTGGCAATTTAAGGAAAGAATGTCGAAATCTTTGTAATTAGGGTAAATATTGTCTTTCCTAGTTTAGGTTTATTCCTATTTAGATTACTTCCTATATTGGAACAATCTTTTGTATATATAATAAAAATAACCTCACCATTATAATGAAATTCAATGAAAACCAACTGGATTTCACGAAATAAGCAACAAAAAGATAGGGAACGTGTGGCAATTTAAAGGAAAGAATGTAAGAAATCTTGTAATTAGGTAGTATATATTCTATTTTCCTAGTTTAGGTTTAATGTCCTATTGTAGAATTACTCCTATTTGGAAACGAATCTTTTTGAGTATATATATATTTGTCTTTCCTAGTTTAGGTTTATTCCTATTTAGATTACTTCCTATATTGGAACAATCTTTTGTATATATATATATAGTAGAGTAGAGATTGCACAATAACAACACAATATAGAGAAATAAAACTCTCCTTTCAAAAACTACAAAGAAACAGCATCAACCACTTAACAAACCCACATAAGCCACATCATATCAAAAACTACACTTGATTGACAACCAACCAAATTATTGATTATTCTGTGAAAAAAAGATTAATGATTTGTAAACAAGCTGATTAGTATTTGGGACAGTAATCAGATGTCATGGCAACTCATTATTTATTTTTAGAAGGAAAGATGCATCAAATAACCTCAGAACTTTTTATATTCCGGCTATCAGTTGAGCCCTTTAACTCAAGTTGTATTTCTTCGGATCCTTAAACTTTTAGATTTAGGGGTATTAAGTATTAGTTTAACATAAAAAGATGATCGCCAACAATCCAATTAAATGATAGTTGAGCTATGAATCAAGGCCCATATACACACATTTTCATCTTGGTTTCCAAACAAGCTGCCTTACATTTACTTGTGCAGAGGAATTTAGAAGTACACAAACAAATGTAAAAATGTTTTGCATTTCATACTCAAGTTTACGCATCTGAGCTGCATAATGTTTCTTTATCCGCTCCGCACGAGTCTCTGTTACTCTTCCATGATGAGAACAAGCATCAATAGCAATTACAGAATGATGGTACTGGAAGGAAAGAACTTGTGCAAGATAACCCTGAAAGATTGAATCAATCATATATGTACAAATTGGAAATGAAATCAAACGAGATTGTTCGGGTAAATGTTATAGAAATATAAACAGAATCAAGTTTGCATACTAGTAAGCAAAGATCATGAATTTATGGTACCACAAAAGATTGCTGTAAGATTATGGAAGCTCCAGCTATAATCTGTCAATTTTTTTTCTGTTAAAACACTCTCATAATCTCTATTTATTTCCTTTCTTCTTGGTATTGTTTAACAAAATAATTCTAAAATTCTTTTTCATAATATAATAGATGGCTGTAAAAATTTAAATTCAACAATCATAAGTTTCTGTTAAAATGAGCTATTGAGAGAGGTACATATATGCCCACTGATAAATTCAGCTAAAGAGTAGATGGTTTGGAAGTCAACCATGAATTTAATCTACACAACAGAATACAATTAAAATTGGGGTCTTTCATTTTCCACTCCAACACTTTAACTGCTACAGTATAATTTTGCCCTTAGTTTCAAAATTTAATTACACAAGATTTTTCTCTATTGGAAATTGTAAATAAGAACATTATCCAAAAACCTGACTTCAAGAATTTATTTATACATATATCAGGATCAGAATGTCTTATTTGTTGATTCAGATGTCAGAATTTGTTTCTTCACACAAGTACTTAGATGGCTTACATCAAAAAGGAAAAAAGAAAAATTCAACCCCTCACCAAAAAGAAAAGTATAAAGGGGGGAGGAAATGCATCAAGTTGTTTCAGAACAAGCATCTCGCACGCAGGAAATAAAAGCAAGAGATAAAAATGAAGAAAATGGCAGCACACCTGGCCAGCACCAACATCAACAATTGTTTCAGCTCTCACATTCTTTGCGATATAATTAACAACAGCAGAAAGAACTTCTACCTGCTCATATCAAATATAAAACCAAGAAAATAACTAATAAGAAACTATTTTTTGCGTATCAGGCAATGTTATCAAATTTTCCTTCTGAAGAGAAAAGGCAAGGAAAACATCCAAATCCAAAATAAACAGCCAAAAAACCTACTTCATGTTTTTTCTTCACGTTCATTCCTTGTGCAAGAACACTACCAAGCGACGTTATGTTCAATCCAGGCAACTCCTGCAACAAAATCATAAGGGAAAAAAAAGCCTAAAATCAACAAAAGAAAATGTATATGTCAAGAAGAACATGAACAAAAAAAGTACCTTTTCCAAGTCCACTTGCTCCCGAGGAAACACAAGAGACCTCAAAGTGGTAACAAATCCCTTGAGAGAAGCAGGCCAGTGGTCCTGAACAAATTTAGGGTTTACAGAGAGGAAATCAAGAAGAAGAAGAAGAAGAAGAAGAAGAAAAGTTTTAGTCGGTTACCTGAACCACGCCAGAAGGAATCAGGAGCAGATTTTGAACAGGCTCGTGGCGGAGGAAGTGAAGCCATTGTTGATCAAGATCTTCCCATAGTCTGTTCTCGAAGAAATTGACGACATGAGCATTTATTATGGAATGGTAAGGTTTGATGAATTCGATAATTGCGTTGATCCATTCTAGGGTTTCATTAGCGCTCTCACAACTGTAATTTGCCCTACTCTCCATCATGCACAGAATTGCTCTGTCTGATAGGAGTACGAGGCAAAGAGCTCAAGAAAACAATACAAAACATCCTTCCATTACATTTGTAACGATACAAAAATCATTGATTACAACCAAAAAAAATTATGAAATTTTTATTGCTCAATACTGATTTCTTAGATTTTTATTTACTTTGGAGAGTTCATTAATGGTAAAAATAAAATTTATGAAAAAAATTGTGACAATAATCTATAAATGGTCGTTGGCTAAATTGATCGGGATCATTAAATATAAAATATCTAATTTATCCTTATATATCCATAGAAAATTTGAATATCTCCACTAATGTATAAATTTGAATATCTAATATATAAAATATCTCTATTAAAAATGGATAGATTTTAGACATATTTAAAATTTAAATTTCAAATATACATTTTTATTCATTAAATAATCTTAAACAAAGTAGTAGGTGGATTACATTTCCCATGCACGTTCTAGGCTTTTATTTTTCTATTATTAATTGTTTCCCTTTTGTTTTTTATTTTTATATGCACGTTCTAGGCTTTTTATTTTTCTATTATTAATTGTTTCCCTTTTGTTTTTTTTATTTTTATATTTCATATATATATAATATATAATATATATATATATATATATATATAATATATATATATATATAATATATATTGTCCTCAAAATGAAGGGCAGATTAAGCCCTTAAGTTAGACTATACGGCCAGAATTTGTCCCAACGCGATCTTGCATCCAACCCCACAACCAGCTCTTGAAAAGTTGTAAACTTAGAGACGCATAGACTGTCTATATATTGTCTTCAAATGAGGGCATTAAGCCCTTAAGTAACTATACGGCCAGATTGTCCCAACCGATCTGCATCCAACCCCACGAACCAGCTCTTGAAAAGTTTGTAAACTTAGAGGACCATAGACTGTCTCCTTAGCCAAGTAATCAGCCATAGAATTAACCTCCTTAGTCTGCATATTTGTTATTTATTTAAATGGTGTCATGTTCGCAAAAAATATTATATATTAGTTGTTTGGGTCAAAACAAATGGATGAAGACTCTTAAGCTAGATGACTTGCTCAAACTGGTTATAAAGATTAGTCCAGGATCAATTCCTTTGGGTTCCATTTTTTTATATTTGACGAAATTATTAATTTAAATAGAGATCAAATGATGTATCCAACTAAACATTACTCAATTATTAGTATTATACAATTTTGTTGGTTTTTTGAGTGAAATAGATAATGTGAACTTACAAAACAAGTCATTTTAAAGTCAATTACGGTAGCAATGTAAATAGTGAGACAAAATTGAAAAGGCTAATTCAACTACTCAATGATAATTAGTTCAATAGCATAATTTAAGTTGTATATATAGTATGCTCACCAAACTTATGTAATGAAAAATTGTAGTAGATTTTTGAAAGTTTTGTTAAATGAATAAATGATTTAATAGCACAATCTACTACTAATATAGTTTGAATAATTTAGATACAAATAATAGTGTCATATTCCTTTCATAATATATTTTTATATATTTTAATTTTGTATGACAAATAATACAAATGAGTCATTCCAATTAGAGTTCATCACTACTCACAGCGAATGTTACATATTAATTGTTTGGGTCACAATAAATGGACGAAGGCTCTTAGCTTGGATGGCACATGTGCAATGAACTAAAAATTAGTTTATTGTTAATATTATAATATTTTATTGGTTTTTTGAGTAAAATAGACAATGTGAGCTTACAAAACAAGTATATGCTCACTCTGCCACATGGAGGATTCAAACGACGAATTAACTTGTATTAACCACTAATTCAATTAGTTAATTGAAAAGGTTGAAAGTATAATACATATAAGCCATTTTAAAGCCAATTACGGTAGCAATGTAGGTAGTGCAACATAAAAATTGAAAAGGCTAATTCAATTGCTCCATGATAATTTGTTGGATAGCATAATTTAAGTTGTATATATAATACGCTCACCAAACTTATGTAATGGAAGATTTTAGTAGATTTTTAAAAATTTTGTTAAATGTACAAATGATTTAATAGCACAATCTACTACTCATATAGTTTGGATGATTTAGATAAAAATAGTAGTATCATGTTCCTTTTATAATATATTTTTATATGTTTTAATTTTGTATGACAAATATTACAAATGTGTTATTCCAATTAGAGTTCATCAATATCCACATCGAATGTTATATATTAGTTGTTTGGGTCAAAACAAATGGATGAGGGCTCTTAGTTTGGATGCACAAGACTAAGTCTCTTGACTTGGATACATGGATTGGTCTTGGGATAAATTCATGTGTTTGTCATTTTTAATTTTTCTACTGCAATATTCTTTATCTTTAAGAATTGGTTTATTGGCTCAATAGAATGATATGATGTTGAATTGGTTTAAAGGACAACTTAGTTGCTAATTATTGATTTTTGCAAAAATATTTAATGCATTAATGATGAGCCATTAACATTAATCTTTTTTCTTATAGCATTACTAATAATGACTTTACTTCCCTCCAAAACTCACCCACTTTCCCTTCAATTTATCCCTCCAAAATCACCCAAGACTATAAGTTCTTTTTTTTAGAGGGGGCTTTCTTCTTCGCCATTCACCCACTCCATTATCTGTTGATCCTCTTCTACGGTTATGCACCTAATATGTGCTTGATTCCACATCCGTTTGTACAAGATGCCATCCTTCAGAGAAAATCTTTGGATAGCTCCCGGAGAGTCGTTTTATCAAACTTAGAGGCACCCTCAGGGTATACTTCATTTTCTAACCAAGTCTGAATATCCCATAACCAAAGCTTGCTGTTGGCGAGCTGGAGACTGCAACAATAGGCTGGCTGTTGATGAACTTGAATATTCAAAGGCTTGATGACCATATCAGTACTGGCATCAACCATGGAGGCAAGAGTAGCCAATGTATCAACAAACTGATTCATAGACCGGGGTAGGCAGTAGAATGATAGCCTTCAAAATGTTGAGCCAGCTGATCTAGGCATCAAAGGTATGGGATCAAGTGCTGCTTTCTGATCTTCCATTTCTTTAGTGCTTGGGAAACTATCAGAATGGAATTCCCATAAACTATTAGGCATCTGATTTGAATACTCAGAGCTGCTTCTAACCCTGCGATACATACTTCATATTCTACCTCATTATTAATGACCTGAAATGCCGACTTGATACTAAAAGGCAGTCGCTCCCCATCTGGAGTTACTATAACCACATCAGCGCCGCAACCCTGATAGTAGACAACCCTGTTGAAGTACATTTTCCATTGGTCTATTTGAATCGGGAGGATGTCTTCATCTGAAACTTAATGTCCGCTATCTCAGCGTCACCAGGAGATGCATCTAGGTGATCGACTATCACACTGCCTTGATTGCCTTCTTTGCAACATACCTCAAATCGAATGTTGATCTCTTCCAACTCTAGTCCTCTGGGCTCAACCGCCAGGATTTCAATTACATCCGCTAAGATCTCCAAACGCGGGTATGTTTTTCCCTTATGCTCAAATAGCTCTATCGGTAGACATGGAGAGGAATGCTCACTCGAACGAATGAAACATCCATCCGTGTCCAACCAACCGAATGTCTTCGTTGGTGTGCTTCCAAGTTTATAACCCAGGCTTAAGTGGCTTCTCTGTGTGTGAATTTCAGGTAGTTCCGTAATGCCTTGTTGGTTCTTTCCAAGTCCTTTCCCTTCTTCATAGTTCATCTTCTTCATGATATTAGAGATAGTGGGCCCTATGTCGATGCTTAGTATAGCAATCTGGAAACTAGTCCGTAGGAGGATGACCTGCTTGTTTATATTTAGCATGGCTACACTCCTTTCACTTGTAGCAGGGATGGTGATGACCTCACCATTAAAAGGAAATTTGATCTTTTGGCGTAGCATTGATGGCACACCTCCTAATGAATGGTACCATGGGCGCCCAAGTAGTAAGGCAAATGTAGGAGGATATCTATTATACTGAATTCAGTCTCCTTCTTGATCAGCCCCACTTTAACCACTATTTTAAATATGTCTTTTGCCTGTCTCTTGAAGTCTTCATAAGCTCTAATAATAACATCAGAAGGTTATAAGTCAGACAACTTCATCTTATACTTGGAAAGAAGTTTCAACATACACACATTCAAAGCTGATCCGTCATCAACCATAACATTCCCAATGATCCTACCTCTCACTTTAGCCTTTATAAATAGAGCTTTGGTGTGATTCCTTCCTTCGGGAGGAAGCTCATCATTAGAAAGGTGATTGTGAGGGGATTATGCTGAACCAGGCCCACAAAATCAACTATAGAGATGGATGATGAAAGTAGAATCTCGACCATTACTTTCAGCAAAGCTTCTCAGTGTTTCTTAGAAGAGACGAGCAAGTCCCACATGCTTATATTTGCATGGGTTCTTTTCAACTGTTTAATCAAAGCATCATCTTCAGTATCTTTCTTTGGCACACCCGATGAGCTAGATTTCTCATTTACTTCCCTTGGCTTGATCATGTCCGGTTGATATACTCGACCACTGCGGGTCATATGGTTCACAGCTCTTGCTTCTTCTTCTTCCTTGCTATTCTATACGTCAAGAGTAATGGGATACACTACCATCTCATCCTCGCTTCCTACCCAAACTTCCTCGCTCTGATTCAGCCCCTCTTCATCACTATTGTCCCATACATTTAGGACCATCACATATATATGCTCCAACAGCAACTCTCTCTCTCTTTCTTTCTCCTCCTCCTCGAATTCAGCCATCACCTCCTCAAGAGTCTTTTTAAACTCAACAATATAAAGATTTTTAGAAGATGGTACATTACGAAAATTTGGAAGTGGATTAGTTATTACGAAAAATTTGGAAGTGGAATTAAAGTTTCTCGGTGCTCGGCCTTGCTTTTTCTGTCAGTTAACCTTTGCCCTCAATGCATCAAGTTCCTGGATCTCATGCCTCAACCGAAGGTAATGAGGTCCCCGGTAATGTGACCTTTGGGCCTTGATGAAAATGGACAGTAAGCATTGTGAATCAAGAATTCTTGGTAAAAGGTACTGAAGGAGGTTCTTGGTGTGAGCAGTCCGCGACAGACCGTTGACTTTAACTTTTTTAAACCACTCTAGAGAGAGGAGTGCCCAAAGTTGAAAAACCTTCTTTGTGGCACATTGGTG